AGAAGGGATTTAATCTTTGGAAAGTTGTCAAGAACAATGTTCACTGGTACCTGATAAGTGCAAGCTGTCTTTAAGGGCAGCAGTGTGTAGAGTGAGTGCTGCTTTTGAACTTGCTGTGTTCAAAGTGTAGAGCAGATTTAAGGCCGTTTCATACATCTTCTTCATTGGAATGCCAATGAAGTAGATTTGACATCGAGAAACATTAACAACACAATATGCTGGAGTTGAAATGTGTTTTACTTCAGCAAACTGCCAATACATGTACGCACCATGACATCAGTAATGTGCAGGCCCGCCCAGAGCAGATTGCAACCAACTATCAGTAAAGGGAACAGCTGGTATTCATGCAATGTATGTATGTAAAAGGTTCAGAAATTAACAAATCCTAAACAGTTTAATTATTTTAATCAAACTTTTGTTCGTGTTTAAAGGTAGAGTAGATCATTTGCAGCTATCCAAAAGGTAACTGACGAAATTATTGTTAAAGGCTTTTGGTTTTAATGGCACTAAACTCCCTGTGAAATCATTCTTTCTGGCATGCTGTCATTATGAAGGAAACAATGAAAGAAAGCATTTTTCAACGATGCATCATGTTAGTTCACGTAGTTGGTTTGTAAATTTGGTGAATCCATGAATATGTGCGCACAAGCGTTGACACGACGCACACTAGGTTCCTATTATATGTCAGTTCAGTGCATGACATCGCGTAGCTGCAATTGACTGAATGAGAATGCGTCCCTGGGGCTGAATTCGGACGCAATATAAAACATGACTCAGCAACTTTTGAATTGAACCTGAGATCCTTGAATATAGTTTTCTCGGAAGATACTGCATTTACAGAACTAAAACTTCATCATGTTAGTTGTGAAGCGACCATTTTTAGATTTTGAGCACTTTTGTAGCTTCAAATGAAAAAAAAATGCACAAATGAAAAATGATCTACCCTTCCTTTTAATGAGCAAGTTTGTTACTTTTTATAGTGTGAAATATACAAGTAATGGTACTAACATATGGAAACCCTGAAATTGTTCACTGTAAATAAATTTTTTTTTAAAGTGCCTTTGAAACAGATTTTGAGGTTTTTATGTTAGGAACCATATTCTAAGTCTTTGGATGTTTCAGGCTTTAAAAATTTGTATGAAGTTCCATACTCATGAGCAATACAGCGATGTCATGAGCTGGAACTTCAGTGTCACGGCTGTTTGAGGGGAAAATAATGTTAACAGAAGTGTTTTGATCAAGTTTGATGTGACTGTTACGTTCATTAGCACATACCATGCAGCCAGTGAGATACTTAAATGTACAAACTTTTACACATGTACAATGCAATCAATTTTAGGTTCATAAATTATACAGAAAATCCCAAAGCTGTGAAGTGTAAAATACCTAAATCAACATCACAGCAACATTAGAAACAATTGTGAGCATGTGCACGGGCATTGCAAAAAAGTGTGCGTAAAATGTGGTCATTACTTTCATACAAACACAGGGCTGGGATATTTCATGTTTTAGTGAAAATCATTTTACAGCCTTTTGATGCTGTTATTAAAGCTAGAGTCCATCATTTGCAGCCATCCGAAAAGTAACTTGCGTAATTATTGTTAAAAAACAAACTTGGTTGAAAGATAGTAAGGGAACTAAACTCCCTATGAAATTATTCTTTCTGGGAAGCTGTAATTTTGAAGTAATCAACGAAAGAAGGCATTTCCAGTGGTGATTCTTGAGAAGCACCGTGGGAACATTTAAATTAGTAGTTCGTTTTGTTATTCAGCGCAGCGCGCACAAGTATTGGAACGACGCACACACACGCACGGTTGTTATAATTCGTCGGATCAGTGCGCGACGTCGCGTATAGCTGCAATTCAAAACATGATTCAGTAACTTTTGATTTGAAATTGAGTTCTTAGAATGCTGTTTTTCTCGGAATGTACAGCTGAAGCTTAGCTGAAACTTCATCAGGTTAGTTGCTCAGTATCCTTCATTAGATTTTGAACTCTTTTGTTGCTTCAAACGAACAAAATGCATAAATTACAAATGATGGACTGTAGCTTTAACAGACCTTGACAAATCCCAAGCATGGAGCACAATACATACATACTCCTATAAAAAGGCACAAACTGTATGGTTATTGTTATTGAGGGTTCAATGTTAAGGGAGCAAACTCACCGCAAATCCAGGATGTCTTGGGAGGTTTAGGATCTCAATCTTGAAGATCTCTGAGGTGAAGTGCTGTTGCGTCAGATAGTGATAAGGATCCGTTATGGCAGCACCAGTCACTGGTACGTCAGAGGTGCTGGTGGAATGGTTATCTTGTGGGTCAAGACCTGATGCACAAATGAACAGATTAAAAAAATTGATATGGCTAGAGCTATATTGTCTAGGTCTTCACCCGTAACAATTACATGGGAACAATCTCACAATAGCCGTAGCCATAGCTCTAGAAGCGCGTTTCAGACACAGCCTAAGTAACAGATCAACAAAGTTGCAAGTTATGCATTAGGAGCATCCGATTCCAAATTTATACCAATCTTTGTACATACACGTTGCACAATGTGGATAACTTTTTTTGAAGACCAAATAAAATGCATTTTTTTTATTCGAAGTTTCTTGAAACATCCTTTAGCAAGGAGAAATCCAGGGTATAGACTTTTTTGTTGCAGAGCACAGATCTAATATGAGACCATTGTAGGCTTTAGATGTACAGTATGGGATTTAAGTCTGGTGTATTAAAGGTGTCTTCACAGCTACTAGCCGGAAAAAATGTAGTTGATAGTTAAAAGCCTGGTTCATACTTCACGCAAAAGCGAAGCGAAGCGAAATTCATGACGTCAACAATACATTCGAAGGGCATCCACCATTGTTGACGACATGAATTTTGCTTGGCACATGCTTTCGTGTGAAGTATGAACTGGGCTAAAGTCAGCAATTTGTAATCCACTTCTATCAATAGAGCGTGGAAGTTGACCTCAAAAACCTAGGTGATTTTACTAGGTTTATCCAGTCAAGGGCAAAGAATGGGTTCTGAACAAGAAAAAAATCATTCCAATTCACAACACATTATAAAATATTGCAAGTTGATTACTTAAGTAAATTGTAAAAATGTGGACCTCCACTTCCTTTCATTGGGTGGATTGGGTGAATTCAAACATGGGAGTCTGTGGCTAGACTAGTCAGTGTTTGGTACCAAGATGTTCACATGAAAAGTGAATGTGAACTGGCGAGACTTGCATGCTCTATAATTGTACATAATCTGTGTAGCACCACTAGTCTGTTGTATTACATTATGAGCTCCATGTCTGTATGATGTTTAAATGCAAAGCAATATTCTAATATTTCTTTTAGATGGACTCAAGGGTACTTCAAATTTGGGTAATTGAAAAATCAATGCTGTAAAATATGAATGTCGTTGTAAAGTTAGCATCATACAAGATGTATCTTAATTTGCACAGTATCCGAGGAATTGCTGCTTTTTATATGTTCATTAAAGCTGCAATTTCCTTGTGTAATTTAAAACTCTAAACACAAATAATACAGAAATGTACTATCACCAAATCGGTGTTTGAGCTCTTACGTCTTTCTGATACCTAGTAATATTTGGGAAAAAAAAGTTGCAGGGCAAACTATGTTTCTAAAAGTCACACACTTTTTATAGGACAAGCAAATTTGCATGTAAAAGCAAGAGCAGTGATAAAATACACAAAAGTGTACACTAGCAACATTTAAACAAACAGTGATTTTCCTGAATTTTGTTTTTAAAACCTAATTCTTGCTTGTGCAAATGTAATTGTTGAAAAATCCCTATTGAGTAAAAGAGCTTGCTGGTCAATGTTGAAAGTACAAACATATACCCTCAATATTCATGCCACAAAAGTAAGCCAACATATTGGTCAGCAAAGGGGATGACAAGGGTTTAAGTCTTTTGTGGCTTGTTTCTTTCTTTTCAGTAATTAATTCCTGACAGACATAATAGACAATGCACAATATGTACACCTGTCAATCTTTCTGTGTGTTGCATTCTTATTGGTTGGAATTGATCAGCATTAGCTACCAATAGGCCACGCCCCTCGACAGCCGATCCAATCAAACATGAAAGCTGATCTACGTCTTTTGCAAAAAGGAAACTTCAAAGGAAATACTTACCTTTGTAAGCACGAAGCCGGAAACCAGCAGTGTTATCTGTCAATAAAAATAATAAGAAATGAAACTGAAACGTTTGCACAATTTATCCAGAGCCAAGTTTCATGAAGACCCAACAAGAAATTAGGGGAATAACTGAGAAAAATCCTGCAACTTTCTGTTGCGGTGTTCATTCAAGGCACATCACATGCGCATCTACATGTGTTCACACTGTTTGTCCATTCCAGGCAATGTGCACTTTTAATTTAATGATGCAGTGCCTTGAACACCAATACTGGTGGATAGGTGTGCTCTATCCTTAAAAAAAAACAAGAAAAGAAATGCTTTGATGTCACATTTTACTTTCATTTAAGAGTGCCTAGGGTTGCTCTTTGCTTCTCTAAGAACTACTCTATTTTCTTTGCAAAGTCATGTTGACAGGATTCAACGCGCAGTATTTTCCCAGTTTGCCATTAAGTCCAGGGACAGTTGGTCTCAATCTGCCCCTGAATGAGAGAGTCTCTCTAAGCAGGGGGTTGGGGTTCACCTCAACTCTCATTGGTAGCCGGTGCAAGTCCCACTCAAGCAGCTGTGAATTGATTGGCTTTGTGTTTGGGTTTTCCTGGTTTTTTTTTTATTTTGTGACTTTTGTGTGTAGGGAAGACAGCTCATTTCAGAAATTATGTAAAACTTTGGTGCGTTTTAACTGATTCTCAAGAAAAAGAGGAAACATGTTCTGGGGCTTTAACAAATGTTCAGGGCAGCTGTACATGTAAGTCCACTTGCCAGAAAACTGTGTCTGGAAACAGTTCCTTGTCCAGTAAGACCACATTTCCATTCTGGCCCACAACCATCCTGTGTCTTTGGCCAGTAGCTCACCTTTGTTGCTTCAGCCAGGAAGACATCTCCCCAATGTTCCGTTGCAGCATCTTGGATAAATTCCTCAGAAACTCCCTGGTGTTGGTCTGTTTGGTGGATAGCTGGTCCTCATACGGCTGGTTCCACAGTGGAGTCACCATGTTGTTTAACCTGCAGATTGGGAGAAGAGCAAAAAGCACACTCAGTATTTCAGAGTCTTAAGAATTTCACAATTGTGAACGCTTCAACTGCTATTACCCTTTTTTGAGAGATGGCACAGACACAATCGAAGGGCGCCATTTGATTTGGATAAATTTGGGGTCAATACAAAAGACTCACCCAAACCAAATATTACCCTCGTATTGTGTCCACCATATCTCATTATGGGTAATGGATAGTCAGTGGAACTTGTGATCTTTCTACATACAACCATTCTCATAACTTCAGTTCGTAGTTCTGGTGGTGCATGTGCAAAGTAAATTTTAGGCTTGAAACACTAAGGGAAATGTGTTCAACTTGTAAAGTTCATCAGATAAAATAAGAGTCATTTAAAGTGTGAATCACAAACTCTACACAGACATGGAAGCTTTGATGCTCTCCCTTCAAGGAGAATAAATGACAAGGAAGAGAAAACTGACCACGTAACTATTCCACTCAACAAATTTCATGTTCACAATGTCAAATGAGCTATGGAACTGACTGGTTGGGCTCTTAAAATAGTAATCTCTGGATGTCAGAATGGTTTTCTTGTGATGATCATGAACTACTTGAACTACTAAAAAAATCTACTACAGTGAAGGAAATCACATTCTTTGAACTTCCACTTTCAAGGGGTATCAAGCCTAAATGGCAGTAAAGGCAGGGTCTACCTTCCTATATCCTACAAAATCCTCCAAAATAAATGGACAGAACAGAATTGATCAATTCCATCAAATGAGCCTTTTTCTACACTTGCATGATTTTAATACCACAGAGCACAGTGAAAGAAATGAGTGTTGTAATGACTTCAGTTGGTTGAGAACCGGAGTACTTTTCTAATGGATGGTGGTTCGAATCCAGCCCAACCCTGCATTCTATCTCAATGTCTTCACCTCTCTTCTACTGGTCAGCTGTCCTCCTCCTTCCTCCTCTCAGCTTCTTGGGTGTTTTCATCAGATTCCTCTTGGCTTCTCTTCAGAGCGAGGCTCTTAGTGTACAGGTCCTCAACTGGCTTGGTAAGCTACGGGAAAAGAGTTATTGCAGGAACGTGAACCTGTAACCACAGCAATAGCAGCCACTAGACCCCTTGCACAGGCAGCCAATGCGGAGGCAGTTCTTATTCATTTAAATCCAATGACAAGTGCCAACAGAAACTCGTGTCAATAATGAAGCCACAATGGACTAATAGTGAATACCTTGGCTTTGAGCACTTGTCCTTTCCATGCGAGTCCCACTCAAGCAGCTGTGAATTGATTGGCTTTGGGTTGGGTTTTCCTGTTTGTTTTTTTTATTTTGTGACTTTTGTGTGTAGGGAAGACAGTTCATTTCAGAAATTAGGTAAAACTTTGGTGAGTTTGACTGATTCTCAAGAAAAAGAGGAAACATGTTCTGGGGCTTTAACAAATGTTCAGGGCAGCTGTACATGTAAGTCCACTTGCCAGAAAACTGTGTCTGGAAACAGTTTCTTGTCAAGGAAGATCACATTTCCATTCTGGCCCACAACCATCCCGTGTCTTTGGCGGGTAGCTCACCTTTGTTGCTTCAGCCAGGGAGACATCTCCCCAATGTTCCATTGCAGCATCTTGGATAAATTCCTCAGAAACTCCCTGGTGTTGGTCTGTTTGGTGGAAAGCTGGTCCTCATACGGCTGGTTCCACAGTGGAGTCACCGTGTTGTTTAACCTGTAGATTGGGAAAAGATGTGAAAAGCAAATTCAGTATTTCCAGAGTCTTAACAAATTTTGGAAAAACTGAATAGCTCAACTGCTATAAGCCTTTTGCGATATATGGCAGACACAATACAAGGGTGTTATTTGATTTGGGTATATTGGGGTAACTTATGCAAAAGCCTAGACCCAAACCAAATAGCGCCCTCGTATCGTGTCCACCGTATCTCCAAAGGGTAATGGATTGTGTGTGGAACTTGTCATCTTTCTACATACAACCATTCTCCTAACTACAGTTCATAGTTCTGGTAGTGCATGAGCAAATTAAAGATTAAGCTTGAAACAATGAGGGTAATGTGTTCAACTTAGACAGTTTATCAGATAAAATAAGAACCATCTGAAACTGTGAATCGCACACACAATCTACATAGACATGCAACCTTTAATGCTGTACCTTCTAGGGTAAAAAACAAGGAAACTGTCCACATAACAGTTTTACTCAACAAATGCCAGATGAAGTACTTAACTTACTTAAAGTTCCGTGCTATTTTCGAGTTTCATCCCGAAAAACAGATTTCTTTACCAATCTGCTATTTTTCAAGCAATACAAAAGTTATTCACTTTTGAATGAAACACCAAACACAAAAAAGCTCACGTTCAGTTATTGAATTATTGCTTTACAATTCCAAATTATTGGCTGCCAAACATTATTTCTGTTCTTGCTGGATAGGCTGGTTCCCCCCCCCCCCACAATCAGTATCAATAATGTACGGACGGGAGCCAATCTGTTGGCAAAGCTGGTCATCAGTTTGGGCCGAGAACAAAAAGAAAAGTTCAGGGGTAATTTCTTAGTATAACATTTGATAGCAGAAGTCTAAGTACACTTTCAATTTCAAGCAAGAGAGTGTAGGAATTCCATGGTTTCAAATCTTTGTTGATGCAGTGACTATTTATATCTGCATTTTAAATGTCTTTCTTGATTATCCAAACACCAAATGTAAAGCTTGTGTCAAGTTTCTATATGTGAGATATAAATAAATATGTTGTAAGCAAAATGTAGTGAACGACCCGAAAGATTTTGTGTCATTTTTTGATCTGCATCTAATTTTATTCAGTTATAGATAATTCAAGCGTTACGTTATGTCTGTGATCTTTAATAAGGGAATAACAGTGTGAGGAGCCGGTCTTCACTGCGTGATAATGACCGGGTGTGGGGGTGCCCGCTGTTAATGGACCGAGACGAAGTCGAGGTCCATTAACAGCGGTCACCCCCACACCCGGTCATTATCACGCAGTGAAGACCGGATCCTCACACTGTTATTCCCATTAATAAATACCTTTATAACGAAATAAACAGTTAAAATGCTCCAATTTTGTGACTTTTTTCCGGCGATATTTCCAGACTATTTTGTGTTCATGTTCATGGGCCATATTTTAGCTTAACAGCTATAATGACGTAAACTCAACAGAAACTGCTGCCGTAGCGAAACAAATTACAACAATGTTTTCATATCTTTACCTGATGGAGGAAGCTGAAATCTCGTTTACACATTCCTTGTGTCCAGAATTACAAAAATGCTTGGTTTAGGAAAGGTAAATATGTCGGTGGGTGAAGTGTTTCAAAGAAAATAAATCGTAGATCTACGCTTTCGTCGTAAACATCCTCAGTATATACTGCACTGCTGTACGATGTCGTTTCAAAACTTCCTTACGCGCGCGCACGCACGCATCCCTAGCAACAGTGTTGCGTACGCGCGCGTCAGTCTCACGCGATGGGGGTTGAGCGCATGTGCAGTGCTCAATTGTTAAAAGCTACCGCAGGACTGTTACTATATTTTGACCAATCATTGGCTTGCATGGGGCTGAACAGGGCTTGATCAATGCTGGTTCAGGGGCCATTTATTCGCTTGATCTTTGAAGCCGGTCCATTATCACCGTTAATGACCGGCCACGTGATCGAGTCTCGACCAATCAGAAACCATCAACTCTCCAAGGTATTTATTAATGAGCTGTAAAACTCTGTAAAAAGTGCAGAGTGCCATTTCACTTTTTTTTAAGTAAGCTAGATATGAGCAAAACCTTAGTGACGGATTACACAATGTACATGTAAAAAAGTCTTGAAGAGAAAATAAAAAGTTATTCTGAAGCACATCTATGCCAAAGTCAACTGTAAAACTCTATTGTCTACTTTGGTTTAGTATGCATTCAAAACAAGGAACAAAGAGCTAATCCTTACAAATCTTAGAGATAAAAAAACACTAAGGGGAAAAAATGCAGAAGCTTTATGTTTCAACTACACATTGCTCCAGGTCTTATATTCGCTGTTAGTATAAAACTGGAGTGATCTTGAAATAGGACAGAACACTCTTTGCTACATCTGAATAAAATGTTGGATATGGAGAACGATGAAGTTGAAAAGCACCTTGAGAACTTTATCAAGACTCACAAAAGAATTAACAAATACTATGGTTAAGTACTGAAATCAATGCACCAATCGGCCTCCTCTTAAACTTGGTCTTTCTCTTCACAGGCATTCGAGTGAAGTCAATGAGTACAATCATCAACATCTACTTATCCAATCTGGCTGTGGCTGACTTGCTCTTCCTTATGACTCAATATATATTTGTATTGTGTTCATCCGAAGTGTACAAAGCATTCCAGAGTGTCAAATAAATCCCGGGACATACCGTTATTTCGTTTTACGGTTTTGGATTTCCTCAAAAACAAAAACAGTCAACGAACCATTGACCGTTTTGTCGTTTTACAGTTTTATAAAACGACAAACGGTATTAATATCAATACGGTTTCTCCGTTTTATAAGTTTAGTAAAATCATTATAGCATAACAATCGATTATTTTTGTTTTACGCAAATAACTTTGAAAAACAGCAAGATGGTCAGTATTGAATACACACTGTTTTTTTATTTTAGTGTCATAGTTAACAGTCCGTGGTGCATTTTGTGGCGGTGGGCAAGGGGGTGGAGGGGGACCCTGCTTTACACGAGTGTTGGCTCGGCATAATTAATGCGTGGTGTGATTCCTGGCGCGAACCCTGACCCCCTTCTCATGCGATTCAGTTGGTGGGGCTTAAATAGTTGCAAGCAAAAATGGCGCTGGAAAACTGCAAGGGAGGGCATTACTTTCACAATGGATACAGGATGGTATATATAAGACGTTTGATGAAGTTGCAGATATTTTGAAGGAAATTGGAGTTTAAGTCGACGCGGCTCTTCAATAGCTAATTCGCAAATTCTGTCGTGAGAACGAAAATGTAAGGAGGGCCCAGGCAATGACTGGATCCCAAGGACGCATTAACATTCCTAGGTGCATTGCTTAATTGCCGAACCTAAATCAAAAAAATGGTCGGCAAGACTATTGACCATTTTGTCATTGTCATGATTTTGTAAAACAACACTCTAAAATAAATCAACTAACCGTTTAACGCTTTATACAATTAAAAACAACAACAAAAAGTATTTTTTGTGTGCGACTTAATACAGTTTGACCGTTTCACAAAACTGTAAAACGACAAAACAGTCAATAGTTCGTTCACGGTTTTTGTATTTGAGGAAATCCAAAACGGTAAAACAAAATAACGGTATGTCCTAGGATTCAAATACATGTTTGTTGCTGTTTCTACTTATTTTGTAGTGATCATAGCAGCTGAGGTGGGAAGAGGCCAGATATGAATCCCTGAGAGATTTCAGCTCACTTAAGTCAGGATCCAGGGGGGAAAAAATCATTTCAGTTTTCGGCCGAAATAGCCCAAATCTTGAAAAGTTTTCCATATCCGCAGTCATCAAAAATACTCATTTTTGGCCTCCAAATCCAACATCACGAAATTAAGTCAAATGTTCACACAAGGTGGGAAGAGGCCAGATATGAATCCCTGAGAGATTTCAGCTCGCCTAAGTCAGGACCCAGGGACAAAATAAACATATCAGTTTTCGGGGGAAAAAGCCCTAATCTTGAAAAGTTTTCCATATCCGCGGTCATCAAAAATAATCATTCTTGGAATGAAAATCCAACTTCACAAAATTAAGTGAAATGTTCACACAAGGTGGGAAGAGGCCAGATACGAATCCCTGAGAAATTTCAGCTCACCTAAGTCAGGATCCAGGAAGAAAATAAACATTTCAGTTTTCGGGGGAAAAAGCCCTAATCTTGAAAAGTTTTCCATATCCGCTGTCATCAAAAATACTAATTTTTGGAATGAAAATCCAACTTGACAAAATTAAGTGAAATGTTCACACAAGGTTAGATGAGGCCAGATATGAATCCTTGAGATATTTCAGCTCACCTCATTCAGGAACCAGGGAAAAAATAAACATTTCATTTTTCGGCTGAAATAGTCCTCATCTTGAAAAGTTTTCCATATCCGCTGTCATCAAAAATACTAATTTTTGGCCAGAAATTCCAAATTCACGCACTTTAGTCAAATGTTCACACAACGTGGGACGAGGCCAGATATGAATCCCTGAGAGATTTCAGCTCACCTAAGTCAGGATCCAGGAAGAAAATAAACATTTCAGTTTTCGGGGGAAATAGCCCAAATCTTGAAAAGTTTCCCATATCCGCGGTCATCAAAAATACTCATTCTTGGCCCGAAAATCCAAATTCACGAAATTAAATCAAATGTTCAGCAAGGTGGGAAGAGGCTAAATATGAATCCGTGAGAGATTTCAGCTCACCTCAGTAAGGATCCAGGGAGAAAATAAACATTTCAGTTTTCGACCGAAATAGCCCTCATCTTGAAAAATTTGTCATATCCGCGGTCATCAAAAATACTCATTTTTGGCCTAAAAATCAAACTTCATGCACTTTAGTCAAATGTTCAAAACAAGGTAGGAAGAGGAGAGATACGAATCCCTGAGAGATTTCAGCTCACCTAAGTCAGGATCCAGGGAGAAAATAAACATTTCAGTTTTCGACCGAAATAGTCCTCATCTTGAAAAGTTTTCCATATAGGCGGTCATAAAAATACTCATTTTTGACCCAAAATCCAACTTCATGCACTTTAGTCATATGTTCATACAAGGTAAGAAGAGGCGAGATATTAATCCCTGAGAGATTTAAGCTCATTAAAGTCAGGATCCAGGAAGAAAAAAAACATTTCAGTTTTCGGCGGAAATAGCCCAAATCTTGAAAAGTTTCCCATATCCACAGTCATAAAAAATACTCATTTTTGGCGTGAAAATCCAACTTCAGGCAATTAAGTCAAATGTTCACACAAGGTGGGAAGAGGCCAGATATGAATGCCTGAGAGATTTCAGCTCACCTAAGTCAGGACCCAAGGAGAAAATAAACATTTCAGTTTTCGGCCGAAATAGTACTCATCTTGAAATTTTTTCGATATCCGCAGTCATCAAAAATACTCATTTTTTGGCCTAAAAATCCATTTTCACGCACTTTAGTCAAATGTTCACACAAGGTGGGGAGAGAGCAGATATGAATCCCTGAGAGATTTCAGCTCACCTAAATCAGGACCCAAGGACAAAATAAACATTTCAGTTTTCCGCCGAAATAGCCCTAATCTTGAAAAGTTTTCCATATCCGCTGTCATCAAAAAAACTAATTTTTGGAATGAAAATCCAACTTGACAAAATTAAGTGAAATGTTCACACAAGGTAAGAAGAGGCCAGATATGAATCCTTGAGAAATTTCAGCTCACCTCATTCAGGATCCAGGGAGAAAATAAACATTTCAGTTTTCGGCCGAAATAACCCTCATCTTGAAAAGTTTTCCATATCCACGGTCATGAAAAATACTCATTTTTGGCGTGAAAATCCAACTTCACGCAATTAAGTCAAATGTTCACACAAGGTGGGAAAAGGCCAGATATGAATCCCCGAGAGATTTCAGCTCACCTAAGTCAGGACCCAGGGACAAAATAAACATTTTAGTTTTCCACCAAAATAGCCCTAATCTTGAAAAGTTTTCCATATCCGCGGTCATCAAAAATAATCATTCTTGGAATGTTAATCCAACTTCACAAAATTAAGTGAAATGTTCACACAAGGTGGGACGAGGCCAGATATGAATCCCTGCTAGATTTCAGCTCACCTAAATCAGGACCCAAGGACAAAATAAACATTTCAGTTTTCGGCGGAAATAGCCCAAATCTTGAAAAGTTTCCCATATCCACAGTCATCAAAAATACTCATTTTTGGCCGGAAAATCCAACTTCAGGCAATTAAGTCAAATGTTCACACAAGGTGGGAAGAGGCCAGATATGAATCCCTGAGAGATTTCAGCTCACTTAAGTCAGGACCCAAGGAGAAAATAAACATTTCAGTTTTCGGCCGAAATAGTACTCATCTTGAAAAGTTTTCGATATCTGCAGTCATCAAAAATACTCATTTTTTGGCCTAAAAATCCATTTTCACGCACTTTAGTCAAATGTTCACACAAGGTGGGAAGAGGCCAGATATGAATCCCTGCTAGATTTCAGCTCACCTAAATCAGGACCCAAGGACAAAATAAACATTTCAGTTTTCCGCTGAAATAGCCCTAATCTTGAAAAGTTTTCCATATCCGCTGTCATCAAAAATACTAATTTTTGGAATGAAAATCCAACTTGACAAAATTAAGTGAAATGTTCACACAAGGTAAGAAGAGGCCAAATATGAATCCTTGAGATATTTCAGCTCACCTCATTCAGGATCCAGGGAGAAAATAAACATTTCAGTTTTCGGCCGAAATAACCCTCATCTTGAAAAGTTTTCCATATCCATGGTAATGAAATTACTCATTTTTGGCGTGAAAATCCAACTTCACGCAATTAAGTCAAATGTTCACACAAGGTGGGAAAAGGCCAGATATGAATCCCTGAGAGATTTCAGCTCACCTAAGTCAGGATCCAGGCAGAAAATAAACATTTCAGTTTTCGGGGGAAAAAGCCCTAATCTTGAAAAGTTTTCCATATCCGCTGTCATCAAAAATACTAATTTTTGGAATGAAAATCCAACTTGACAAAATTAAGTGAAATGTTCACAGAAGGTTAGAAGAGGCCAAATATGACTCCTTGAGATATTTCAGCTCACCTCATTCAGGAACCAGGGAAAAAATAAACGTTTCATTTTTCGGCCGAAATAGTCCTCATCTTGAAAAGTTTTTGATATCTGCAGTCATCAAGAATACTCATTTTTGGCCTGAAATTCCAACTTCACGCACTTTAGTCAAATGTTCACACAACGTGGGACGAGGCCAGATATGAATCCCTGAGAGATTTCAGCTCGCCTAAGTCAGGACCCAGGGACAAAATAAACATTTCAGTTTTCGGGGGGAAAAGCCCTAATCTTGAAAAGTTGTCCATATCCGCTGTCATCAAAAATACTAATTTTTGGAATGAAAATCCAACTTGACAAAATTAAGTGAAATGTTCACACAAGGTTAGAAGAGGCCAGATATGAATCCTTGAGATATTTCAGCTCACCTCATTCAGGAACCAGGGAAAAAATAAACATTTCATTTTTCGGCCGAAATAGTCCTCATCTTGAAAAGTTTTCGATATCCGCAGTCATCAAGAATACTCATTCTTGGAATGAAAATCCAACTTCACAAAATTATGTGAAATGTTCACAAAAGGTGGAAAGAGGCCAGATATGAATCCCTGAGAGATTTCAGCTCACCTAAGTCAGGATCCAGGAAGAAAATAAACATTTCAGTTTTCGGGGGAAAAACCCCTAATCTTGAAAAGTTTTCCATATCCGCTGTCATCAAAAATACTAATTTTTGGAATGAAAATCCAACTTGACAAAATTAAGTGAAATGTTCACACAAGGTTAGAAGAGGCCAGATATGAATCCTTGAGATATTTCAGCTCACCTCATTCAGGAACCAGGGAAAAAATAAACATTTCATTTTTCGGCCGAAATAGTCCTCATCTTGAAAAGTTTTCGATATCCGCAGTCATCAAAAATACTCATTTTTGGCCTGAAATTCCAACTTCACGCACGTTAGTCAAATGTTCACACAACGTGGGACGAGGCCAGATATGAATCCCTGAGAGATTTCAGCTCACCTAAGTCAGGATCCAGGAAGAAAATAAACATTTCAGTTTTCGGGGGAAATAGCCCAAATCTTGAAAAGTTTCCCATATCCGCGGTCATCAAAAATACTCATTCTTGGCCCGAAAATCAAATTTCACGAAATTAAATCAAATGTTCAGCAAGGTGGGAAGAGGCTAAATATGAATCCGTGAGAGATTTCAGCCCACCTCAGTAAGGATCCAGGGAGAAAATAAACATTTCAGTTTTCGACCGAAATAGCCCTCATCTTGAAAAGTTTGCCATATCCGCGGTCATCAAAAATACTCACTTTTGCCCTAAAACTCCAACTTCATGCACTTTAGTCAAATGTTCAAAACAAGGTAGGAAGAGGCCAGATATGAATCCCTGAGAGATTCCAGCTCACCTAAGTCAGGACCCAGGGACAAAATAAACATTTCAGTTTTCCGCCAAAATAGCCCTAATCTTGAAAAATTTTCCATATCAGCGGTCATCAAAAATAATCATTCTTGGAATGAAAATCCAACTTCACAAAATTAAGTGAAATGTTCACACAAGGTGGGAAGAGGCCAGATTTACATTTCATTTTTCGGCCGAAATAGTCCTCATCTTGAAAAGTTTGCCATATCCGCGGTCATCAAAAATACTCATTTTTGGCCTGAAAATCCAACTTCATGCAATTAAGTCAAATGTTCACACAAGCTGGGAAGAGGTCAGATATGAATCCCTGAGAGATTTCAGCTCATCTAAGTCAGGATCCAGGAAGAAAATAAACATTTGAGTTTTCGGCCGAAATAGCCCAAATCTTGAAAAGTTTCCCATATCCGCGGTCATCAAAAATACTCATTTTTGGCCTGAAAATCCAACTTCATGCAATTAAGTCAAATGTTCACACAAGGTGGGAAGAGGCCAGATATGAATCCCTGAGAGATTGCAGCTCATCTAAGTCAGGAGCCAGGGAGAAAATAAACATTTCAGTTTTCGGCCGAAATAGCCCAAATCTTGAAAAGTTTTCCATATCCGCGGTCATCAAAAATACTTATTTTTGGCCTGAAAATCCAACTTCGCGAAATTAAGTCAAATATTCACACAAGGTGGGAAGAGGCCAGCTATCAATCCCCCGAGAGATTTCAGCTGAAAAAAAAAAAAAAAACAAGAGAAGAAATGCTTCTCTTTCAAATTTGATTTACTTTTAAGAGTGTCTAGGGTTGCTCTTTGCTCCTCTCGAAACTACTTCAATTTTTGTTTGTAAAGTCATGTTGACCGGATTCAACAAGCAGCATTTTTCCTTAACACAGGATGATGCCATTGCCCTTCCCCCACCACCCTGGTCAAAATATGGGAGGGGTGGGGATGAACCCCCCACCCCCTGGTGTTTATGCCATGAGACCCAGTTTGCCACTAGGTCCACGGACAGTTGGTCCCAATCTGAGTTTCTATAAGCAGGGGCTTGGGGTTCACATCCCACCAATGACAGAAAGCATCAAATCCAAAGGATATACACATCATCTTCAATGTCAGGGATATTTATCCAACAAACTTTGATATGCTTGGTTATCAAGTGGTAAAAACATGTGCAAATCCCACCCACGAAAGCTGGGGAATTTGTTGCTAGTTATCTCCAGAAAACACTTAGTAGACCTATACAATACTTTCAAATTTACATTGGTGAAGGGCAGAACTAGACATGAACACTGACAACTCCCCTACATAAACGATCCAATGCTAAAAGACAATGGGAACAGACCTAAACATCAAAACTTCTTACCGAATAGGAATCAGTCACAGACCCTGAACACACCCGACATGCCGGTTGCCGTCCTTCCATGCACTGGCCATGCATCAAGACAAAACACTCCCTGGTGTTGGTCTGTTTGGTGGATAGCTGGTCCTCATACAGCTGGTTCCATAGTGGAGTCACTGTGTTGTTTAACCTGCAGATTGGAAAAGGATGAACAAATTGCGCTCAGTATTTCAGAGTCTTAACCAAGTTTGAGTAATAGTAAATGGTGCAACTGCTATTAGCCATTTTTGAGATATTGCAGACACAATTTCAGGATGCTGGTTTGGGTAAATTTGAGGCCAATACAAAATACTTAATCCAAACAAATGGCACCAATTGTATCCACAATATCTGAGTTTAGAACTGCAGTACATTTCTATGTTGGTGGTTTGAATCCAGCCCAACCCTGCATTCTATCTCCTCTTAGCTTCTTGGGTGTTTCATCAGATTCCTCTTGGCTTCTCTTCAGAGCGAGGCTCTTAGTGTCCGGGTCCTCAACTGACTTGGCGAGCTACGGAAAAGAGTTATTGCGGGAATATGAACCTGTAACCACAGCAATATTAGCCACTAGACCCCTTGCACTGGTAGCCAATGCGGAGCCAGTTCTTGTTCATTTTAATCCAATGACAAGTGCCGACAGAAACTTAGCGTGCGGGCGGCGTGCAATAGATCAAAAGGGATGGGACGAAAATGCACAGTGAATGGAACAAAAAATGCAATGGTTTGATTAATGAATGCCGCGTGACCTACAATCCTCCAATCAAATGACACGGATTTACTTGGCTGTTATATAATAGCCAATGCTGAGGCAGTTCTTATTCATTTAAATCCAGTGACAAGTGCCAACAGAAACTTGTGTCAATAATGAAGCCACAATTTACTAATAGTGAATACCTTGGCTTTGAGCACTTGTCCTTTCCATTTGTGTCCGTTGAGTACTTTCAATGCCTCCTCCTTATCTTCTTGGCAGCTGAGGGATGAAACAAACGATTGGATTTCCATCAGTTAATCCATCGCAAGCACTGAATGTAACAGGAAAGGAGATGAATATTTGTAAGATGGAATGTTTGTGTTGGGTGGGGGGAGGATTGAAAGTTGTGTTCCCTGTGCTTTTTTTCGAGTTTCATCCCAAAAATTAGATTTCTTTTCTAAATTAATATTTGGTTTTGCCCTTCACTTACGTATAAACACTGTATACTCGGTGTGTTACCTCCCAAGTGAAAGTTAGAAAAAATCACTCGGGTTGGACTTGAACCCACGACCTCCTGCTTTCTAGTACAAACGTCTTACCACAAAAAAAACACAGAGCTTGCGGGATTGGTTGGCTGGTTCGAATCTGATGTACATTGTACATAGCAGCGGGTACCGCATCTAACTATTCATAAGATGGAATTTTGCGTTGGGGTGATGTAAATCAATATTAGGTTTTGCCCTTTGCCGAAGTATAAACACTGTATACTCATTTCTGAATTGCTTTTTTTCTAGCAATACAACAGTTATCCACATTTGAACAACAAAACAATCAGCCAATGTTGTGTTTTGATGGACATTTTTGAACTTAATTAGTCTTTTGTGCTGCAAACAATTTTGCGGGTTCTGTATCTATGAGGCTCAGCTCACGCGGAGCATCATAGTTCTAGGAGTACAAAAGTCAGTTTTGAAGAGAACTCGTAAAAATAGAGGTTTCCTAAAGATAAGGATTACCCCTACATATGTTCTCAATGTCGCCAACTAATTGGGGTGGTCGGAAAAAATCCATACTGGGCCACCACTCAGAGCTCCTGCACAAAGTCTATGGGCCATGACAGAACACATATTACAGTCGTTTTCCTAGTTTCGGATAGCAAACATCATTTAGGCTGCTTTCAGCTCAATTACTCCACAAATTCAAGTGATATTGGTTCAATAGTTTACCTTGAGTAAAAAGTCAAAAGTACTAACGTCACTTTTCCTAGTTCCGGATCGTTTCAATCAGATGCGAATGGATCCAAAAATCCTTTGTGCTAAAAAAGAATCACACGAATAATGAAAGGTTTGCGGAAACACCATGTGTGAATAATTTCTCAACTAAGAGAATGGTTCTGAAAAAAAAACAGAGGTATCAACTCGACGTTCCGGACAGTATGCTCAGACCGTCTTCAGGAGAGTGCCTTAACTCTAAGAAAGTGTATACTTGAGTAGCAAAAGACGAAATCATTGAAGTGTGAAGTTGCATCCTGTGAGGATGTCAAGTAGACAGGATCCTAGAGCAAGCTTGGTGCCCACTGAAGTGAAACAGTAGGGTTGCAGTGTCAGTAGACGGAGGACCTAGGGTATAGGAGACCCTTCAGTCTTAGGTGGTAGCTGAGGACCTAGGGTATAGGAGACCCATCAGTCTAAGTCGGAACGTCGAGTTTATACCTCTGGTTCTTTTCAGAACCATTCTCTTAGTTGAGAAATTATTCGCACATGGTGTTTCCGCAAACCTTTCATTACTTAGTATCTCCACCTCAAATTTTACTTAAGAATCACACGAGCGAATCAATTTTTTTTCAGCCAGAACTTACAAAATTAAGCATATTTTCTGATAAAGTATTATTTCATTTTTCCAAAATAGTTCATTCCAGAGAATTCCACCAAATTTAACAAAGAGAAAAACGTAAATGATTTTGAAACGTTTGTCTGCAGCGTAACGGCACGAACTCACGCACAGACCGAATATATTTTGACACAGCACACAGAATACGTCACACAAAATCCATTAATGCGCGTGAAGTTGGGTCATAAGGGACGAACAGGTACACACGTAAACATTCGATGGAAGATTTTATATGACTTTAGTGTATAAACAAAATATTCAAAATCACACGGTTCGAGTGATGTACCGAGGAGAACATTTTTCGTCAGTTCGCTGCAGCAGCTCCCACGAGTTTCTACAAACCATTCAAACAAGTCTAAGTGCGAGTCGAAAATTTGGCAGAAATTTCTCTTCTAAGATTTTATCAAAAAGATCTTCGTGTATCAAGAAGCTTACATTTTCCTTTTTAAAATGCACTTCGTCAGAAAAAAATATTGGACTCCAATTTGGAGACTAATCCAAAAAAAAGGTATGTTTTTATTTGAAGCTATCCGGAACTACTGTAGGAAAAATCCAGAATTTTTGTACTCCTTAATAATGTTTTTCCATCAGATTTACAACTTTTGGTTCTTTTCAGGTCATATTAGTGGCCCAGTATGAACATTTTTCCTTTTTTAACTAAGCATCTCAAACTTTTCACGAACACACACGACGAAACATCATAAAAAGTTACGCTATAAACGCAGTGCGTCTACGGCTACTTCTGCAGTACATTTCACTAAATAAAATAATGCAGATTTCACCAATAGCTATTAAAAACAACCAAATTAATGTTACCTTTAATGAAAACAAACTTGTAGTACTGATACTGACGTAATACTAATAAATAAGAAAGTTTTCAGCCACTCAGACCAGAGTCAGAAGAATACGGGTAGCGGCAGATTTACACGAGTCGCGTGTTTATGTTGTTGTTGAATGCTGCCCTCATGTGTCGCTCGATTGGCAGCATGCAAGCTGTTTCGAAACCTCGGTCTATAGGGTGCATACCTGCAAATAAACTCCCATAGACACTAGTGCTAAATGCCCATACTTCAAAATTCTTTTAAAAATACTCAAATCTCTCACAGGTATTCAAGCTGCACAGAACAATGATGATCAATGTGTCATCTTTCATTTTCTTTTCAATTTATGGTGGGTTGACCATTGACTTTTCGAGATATTTTCACGCAAAGAAGACGACCCCTATTTTCCCCAAAGCGGAAAAGTAGCCATCTTGAAAAACGATCCCTCCACAACATGGCAAAATAGCGCCACTTTCGAGCCCAATAGCATCCAAAATGCTCAGAATTGAAAGCCCCAAGTCCGGGCCAGAGGTTCACTACCATATCTCTTCAATTCCCCAATTTTACGGCGCTCAGAACTCTCTAATATAGAATAACTCTCTAATATAGAATATTTTGAGGGTATAACTTTTATTCATGAGCTTGGCGGATCGATTTACCGGTATGCACCCTTCATCGCAGACTCGCAGATTCATCATTGATCTGGCATCCGTCTTTTTTTTTTTACGAGACGCATACGTCTCCCGTAACGGAAGCCTAATAACACCTATTGTCTCTTCTTATTAGACAACTCACGCTTTCTGAGTAGCTGTGTGGAAATTTCATAATCTTCAAATTATTATAACAGACGAAGCCGTAGCTGGCTTCGAATTTTGGAAAAACCCTTTAAACCACTTTTTTTTCCTGGAGGGCGCTGTTTACGCTGAAAACTAGTTTTTCCTCTTACTTAAGGGGAAGATACAACATTTGCAAACATCAAAAAATGAAATGATAAAATTATCACGAAATACCTTACTGGATTGTTAAGGAATGACAGTCTGAAGCATCCTGTAAAATCGTGGCTCCTGGTGTGCTGACATTTTCAAGAAACACTGTATTTTTCCAACACTGGTCAGCCGACCAGCGTTGGAGAAAACTGGATTTTTTCAAAAACTGCTCCTAATTTTTTATATTTAGTTATTCCGCATTTTCTTTGCAGTTGATTACACACCTGTAAAGGGGTACAAGCCAGCTACACCGATTCTCTGAACTTACAATTCCCCCCAGTCTATAAATTGCTCCGTTTCATCTTAAGTGGAGTCAGGGAATCAGACTACAAGAACATGATTGGGTTTCTTGGTTTTTCCAGCATCTACAACCCCAAAACGTGAAACAAGTCAGTTTAACAATATTTGCTATACCATACTAAGCCTCCAAATCCATTTATTTCTGAAAATTGCAGCAAAAGCAAATGTTGAACATTCCTTTAATATTTTCCCCCAGAATGTATTTATGTGATTATTCAAGGCAAAGGAGTTATTGAACATGGCTATTCATATGGTAGGTACCCAAGAGATTCTGAAAAATTATTTATATTTTTTAGTAGGACACCTCGTCGTAAAAATAAATATAAAAAAAAATAAAAAAATAAAATCGCCCAGTTTCCGGACACTTCACAATACTGAATGGCTGCTGCTCGCTATGGCTAGTGCTAGGAGGCTTTTTCGGAAAGATTCCCATATCTGGCCATCACTAATGTTTTCCTTCAACGACTTATCAGCCATCAGAAAGTGATAATAATAATATGTCCTAAAAAGGGCGATCGTGAATTGAAGGGTCCGGTTCCTATAAGGGAACATTCCCCTTTAAAAATTATTAGACCTACCAAACTAGTTGGCGACATTCTCAATCAACAGGTATGTCATAGATAGAGGGCAGGTTTTTTTTTTTAGGGAAAAACATGCGACCAGAAAATCAAGATGGCGATCATCATGCGATGTACCGTGAGCACGCACGGTGTGCTGAATCGCAAGGCACAAACCGCGCAGGAAAATCATGTTTTCTACCCCTAGAATCTGTTCAGAATTGCAAAATGGGTCTCACTAGAATGAATTGAGAAAAGTCTGTTTTGATTGTAAAGGTGATTTTTGAGCAAAAAAAACATATTTTTGACTCTAATTCAATCAAAATAAAACAGGGGCCCTTCACTTCACGATCAACATTAAAAGTCAAATTTAGCAGGGAATTTATTGGGGTATTTACTGAGAAAACACACATTTTCAGACCAGTCTCATTCTGCACAGGATGACATTGACAAGTGGCCGGATACGGGAATCTTTCCATTCCAAAAAGAACATGCTTAGGGGGAGTTAGGGTCCTGCTTTTTGAAGAAAAAAAAGGAAGCGGGAGGCCTTTGTTTCTCTGTCCTCCAAAATGGTCGCCCGACAGGGCTATTTTTCAAGATGGCTGCCATTTGGGTTTTTTTTTAAATGGCTGCCATTAAATTCAGAAAATTACATACCAGCTTTATATCGAAATGTGTTTATAGCTCCATGATGCAACAGATACAATGCAAGAGGCCAAAATTTAAAAAAAAAATGGTTAAAAAAAGAGAGAAAAAAAATAAAAGGAGCGAAAGGAGGCAGCCTCCAAAAAGGAAGCAGGCAGAGACGCTTAATATGTTTTTGTTTTTAATTTTTTTATTTGGCCTAATTTGTTCCCCCCCTCCACTTTGAAAATTTCTGTGAAGGTTTTGATTGAGTAGAAAATGAGGTTTTTTTTACTGATTTTATCGGCATTGCTGTTTTATACATTTACATATTTTTTTTACATTTTGTACATCATACATATAAATTTGATTGTTGACATTTTTTCTCAATTGTTTTTTTTTTTGCAACTGTGGGCGCATCCATCAGTGTGGATGAAAGGCGCTGAGGCAGACTGGACACCCATACAATGCACAGACAGGGAGTGTAGCCACTCCTTGATAAAGGCTCCGCATCTGCACTGTCCATTCTGCTCCCAGGACAGTCTCTTCACTGATGAGATTCTCCTCAAGGCGCACTACAGGGTTAAGCACGTGGATAAAGGCATCAACTTTGGGGGTGAGTTTGCATTTGGGAACAAGACCAAGCGCTCGCATACTTGTGACTGGATCCCCAGAAATAAGTCTTAGGTTTTGAAAGGAAAATGTTTTCACTTTCTCTTCACAAGTCATGCTACAAGATGACTTGTGGTCCATGTTTGTGAAAATGTTTGTGAGTTGAATTAAGATAAGTTGAAGGTAGTGGACAGCAGGACAAGATAGTGGCATTTGTGGAAGTTTTATGAAATTGACAGATACCTGGGCTGGTTATTCTTAGCAGATACCAGTGTTTGATAGACTCAATTGTCACAGGCCATGCCCAAGCGCCGGCTGTGTCTCAGGAAAAACTTTGCATCCGGCCTGCCTGAACAAGAGTCCTAACTCAGGTCAATAGCTTACTTGTGCCTCTTACAGCAAGAGAACCATATAAAAAGATCCATATTTCTTTTTTTTTCAAAGTGCATATGGCTGTCAGCTTTTGTCAAAATTGCCAAACCAATCCTCTACTGTATTCCTCCCCAGATCTTAAAATGTTGCGGTGTTGAAGATCCTGCATCGTCCACGGCATCATTCACGGCCTACGTCCCCTGCTGGGATGGCGAGTGTGAAGATCTACTTTGCACCCATAAAGAAGCAACGACCAACGAAGACAGGGATGAAGCAGCCACTGATCTTTTCGGTAGGCTAAACGAGAAACGTAGGCAGAGATGGACAGAGACTGTGGAATCGATCAATTTCACCCATTCCAGCTGTCGGGCATGGCAAACCATCAACAACTCACGGGTAGGTCCACAACCCCAACACAATGTCCAATTACTGCAAATTCCATCGCATCTCAGTTGTTGAGCAAGGGTCACTTCCCCTACGTGGACAAGAACTTTACTAGAGCCACGTCGGCGAGAGTCAAGGAGCTACACCATGCGCAGGGGTGTGATCAAAACCTTTCAGGCGACTTCACGGCACACAAACTCCAGTTGGCCATCCAACGGCTAAAGACCGGCAAGGCTCCAGGCTGTTTGCCACGCATGCCCACAAGCTGCTCACGACATCGGCAGACGTCTCTAAGGCCGCCTGGGTAAAAACCAGCTGGAGAGTCCAGTAGACCTCAGCAGAACTACCTAGGCTACACCACTTCATAAACGACCCTATGTCTGGTCAAGACCTCCCACGAAAGCAGTGGACGACCCTCAACCGTCCGAGGGCTGGAGTCGGACGTTATGGTGCATCCATGAAAAGCTGGGGACTGGCAGACAGCACTTCCTGCGACTGCAGAGAACCAATCCAGACAGTAGACCACATCATCACCGCCTGCCCAAAACACCGGCCGCCTGATCAACCTGGAGGATGACACACTGGCCTGGCTCACCCTGACAGAGCTGCAAGTCTAAGGACATACATGTACGACAGAAGAAGAAGTCCTAAATTAACAACGCAATCTTCAGGTGTGTTCTGCGCGACATCACGCAGTACCACGAATGCGCGCGCCAATCTCCATAAAAGGAGTTGTGTACATCTTACTTGCAGGCTGGACACTCCATTATTTAGCTATAGATGAAAAAGGGGTGTTTAAAAAACATGAAGTGAATTTTTGTGAACAAAAGCAGGGTTTTTTGACCAAAAAGTATTTATGAATGGGAATAAATATGTGCTTGGTCGGTATTAATCACTCTGTTTAAAACTGGTTGGAGTCTGGGTGCTGATAATTATCGCACTTTCGGCTCGGATTAAAACCGACCAAGCACACATTTGTTCCTTTTAAACAGTAATAAGCTGATCAATGTTTGCACATGTGGTTAAACTACCATGGTTCACTCAGAAAATGTTGTAAATTCCCGATGCTTGAATTCCTAAACTCATTGGACTTATTTATAGCTTTAACCATAACAGAACTCAACCCATCAAACCCCAACGACATGTTTTGTTGGAATCTGTCAGGATGGGTACAGTACCCCTAAACTGACAGTCTTTTACATTGGGTTGGCACACCTCCAGAATCAAAGTCAGAAATATGTGTGTGTGCAGTTTCCCATATGGTGTTGGAATTTGCCAGGATGGGTATGGTTCCTAGTAAATCATGCTAGGGATTTAGGGTCAAAAGACTCTCTGAAATAAATTTCACAATCAAACATTTGACTCAAGTATCCATTCTTTTGAGAATGATTAGA